GTATCCACGGGCGAGAGAGGCGAGAGCGGTGACAAGCAATTAGCAGCGACAATTAGCAACGACGCGTTCGAGTCGGATCGTGCCAAGGATAATTGCGCGCTTATTCGTCGCTCGTCTACTTTCAATGACGAATTCGCAAACACTTTTTTGCGGCTCCCCGTGACGTTCACCTTCGCCGCGCGAAAGAAAACGTTCTCCCGCTGCGCTCGTTAGCTAACGCCGCCGCCGGCCGCGCCGATCGATCCCGGAGAAATTGCAGCTGCCGTTGCTATTGTTAGCCGGCGATTCGATTTCCCGTGATTCCGCGGAGACGAAAATACAAAGGCCGGCGGAGGAATCTTTGCCGATCGCGGAACAGACCGGCGAGCGCGAGGTCGCTCGCTCGCTCGCTCGTTCCCGCGCCATTCGAAATCAATTATCCGACGTCGGCACGACGTTCCCGAGCGCGCGGCGGCATCGCCGATGCGTTTAATGATTTCTCTTTATAAGAGTACCGACAGGTGCAATAAATTCAATCCGCGCGTCATCGCACGACTTTGACGGCTCGTTATTCGCGGCAACGTCCTCGACTGGATACGTCGCGTCGACGCGTTCCCGCGGCAGTCCGATCGGTACGTCTCACTTTCGTCTACGGAGAAGTCGGAGAACAACGGTGCGAAAACGGCGAGATCTATAGAGTGGCAGTTACTGAAATCATAATGGAAACAAATGTGTTCGACGCATTGTGTTCGCGAAGAATATAACGATCTCGATGTGTTATTCATATATCCAACGTGTAAAAGAAAGAGCAGGAAAAGTGAACATACTATAAGCTCAAAAACGTGGAACATTTATTTATCCACTTTATCTCCGTAAACATCCATTTCTCGCGATTAATACGTTCGCTACCGACGTCACATATTTATGACCTATACTTTACATACTGGAAATGAAGTTAATCCTGCAGATATTTATTAAAAATTATAAATTACGACATTATACTTAAGAACTCGATGACTCGTTTCCGTTTCATTTTTCTAATATTTTGTTCACATTTATTGGACGGAAGAAAACATAATTAAGGAGTCGTGGTAAGAACGTGTTAAAACTGGTTTTGTTCACAAATTACCTGAATGTTCCATATTAAATGTATAAACCTTTATTAATCTCTCCGTGCTTCGATGCAGTTTTCATCGAAGACAATGCACGTCTCGTTTTGGCAAGCTTCCCGAACCAGGTGTTCCATATTAGGTGCCGTTATCCTACATACGTACATGCATCAGCCCGCGAGCTACTCTGCTCAATCGATGCTGCGCCGGAACAATGCCGGAGAAGAGGACGCGAAGACGCGCGACCTTTCGCCTCGTCTTTTATCTCGTTGCCTCGGTCCCGCTGAAATCCGCCGGAGCCGAGGATCGAGCTTTATTTAGAGAACGAAGGAGACTTACGCCAGCATCCGCGTAGAATGCAAATCGCGGATTACCGTAAAGAAGGGTAACATGTGCGGGAGAGTATGATGCACCGGTCGCCCGTGATGCACGCCTCGCGGAGTGCGCACGTGCAGCTCGCCCGCGATTTACGAACCGAGACTCGGACGCAATAGGAACGATCGGCTCGCGACTAATAACCGCGTTACGGCCATACTCGGCGGCCGATTAATGCCCACTGTCTCGGCGCGTTGCTGGAATCTGTAAATTTCGCGTTCGGAATGGTCGCGCGTCATTTATCTCGGGCCATCGTTAAATCGTTTCGCTTTCCGAAAGCCTCGGAAGCCCCTTGATTAGACCTCTTCCCGTGTCGGCCTCGGACGGTCGCAAAAAGATCTCGTCGTTCGCAGGGTTACGTCCTAGGAACGTCTGTATCGGGAAAACGACCGGGTCGCTCGCGAAAGACACCGTTCCGACGCGTTTTCGTGCGTATCGCCGGGTCGCGCGGCGTCGATCGACGCCCTCCGAAAATGGCGGACGCTTAGGACGAGCCATCGCGACGATTCGTGGCGCCTAAACGTTTCCAAACGAACCGAGCGTTGCGGAGGAACGGTGTGCGTGTCGGTGCGTCGACGACGAGAGGCAAGGCCGCGCTTTCCAATGATAATTCCAGCGTTAATTAACGCGTCGGTCAAGGCGCGAATCGGCGAGAATTCCGAGCGCCTTGTTTCGCGGCAAGGGCCGAAACGAACGGCGTCGCCGGTTCGCGAACATTAAACGGCTACCGACAAAAGCGGCGCGTTACCTTTAATTACAGGCCGGTACGATTCCATCTTTGTGCGCGCGCTACTTTTGCGAATTTGTACGTGGCTGGTCGTGGCCGAGCGTCAGCCACGGTTACCCTTGACCCACCAAAAATTCATCGTACGCGATACGAATCGATATCGGGCGGCGTGACGCCTAAAACGATCCTCCGATCGGATCGAAGATTTACGTATCGGATCGGGTTGTGCAACGACGCTCGATTGCCGGTTCGAGTGTAACATCTCGACCGGCGCGCGTCGGACGAGAAACTATGCGGCGAACACGGTTCGATTCTCAGGGTTCGGATTAGAATGGGATCGGCGGCGGAGCTTTTGTCCGGCAGGAAATCTCGACGATGAATCATCCGCTTCACCTGGCCGACCGCTATTAATGCTCCCGTCTATTTATAGGATGAAAAGAAAACCGACGTTCTTGGAAAACGTCGCACCCCGTGTATGGAAAACTCGGATCCGCGCGGCGTCGGTTCCCGCGCCGGCGGCGAGCGCGCTCGTTTCAGCCGCGCGGTGTGTTTGTTCGGGAGGCGAACGATCACAGTGTGGATTGATTTGCGGCAATTTATTTCGCACGTTATTAAAATTAATACAGAATGACAGAAGTATTTACAGAAGATTTTGATAGCCATATATGCGCGATTGTTCTGACCGTAATTAACCTCGGTATTAATAACATTACTACAGCGATAACGTAATAGCAATAATAATAATAATGATAGTAATGATAATAATAATCGTAATGATAATAATAATAATAATAATAATAATAATAACTGTAATAATAATAATAATAATAATAATAATAATTGTAATATAATAATGATGATAGTTTGAATAAGTCGGAGAGCAAGGCGTGTGCGAGTATGGGAAATATATACCTATATTTATACGAACGGATAACAGATAACCGTTTGAAGACGCTCGGCGCGCGCCCCTGCGAGGCCTCGACGGACGAAAGAAACGCCACGAAATCGAAACGCGAACGTAAAATAATTAAATACGATATCGGGCAGACAGTAGAACGGAAAATAAATAGCAACTTAGCAACGAATCGGCCTCGGACCGGGGCGCGTTCGACCGGCCTCCGGCTCGCTCGGACACACGCCCTCCTCTACCGTAGTAGCAAAACTATATTACAGGTCTCTATGAGTTCCTTTGATTCTCGGTGGCATTCATGAATTCGCGCGACACCCACGC